TGTATGCTGTATGGAAAATGCAACAATAATGTTGCTACAAGCACTAAAAATAAATCTAGGGATTCTCTTTTGTAATTAGAAAATATTGAAAGAAAAATCTTCTTAGGTTGATTCTACTATATGAAGAAAATACCTAGAGTTTACAAAAGCATTCCAAACTATGCATGCATATTTCTTTTAAAGCCAACTGGTAAATTTCCTTTTTTTAATTGAAAAAATTAAAATTTTGCTCTGTTTCAGTCTAGGAGGTGCATTGGTTGACTAAGAACTTAAAGTTTCAGGTATTCGTTAATTAAAAATTTCATAACATGTATAGGACTAAATTTTCATCCTCTGTAGATTTATTTAGTTTTTTAAAAACTTAAGTAAATTAAGTCTTTCACAGTAAAATCAGTTATAGGAAAACAGACAGAAATCTCAAACACAATTAATTACTTCGCTATTTGAGAAACCAGAGCAGAAAAGTAGCTGATATAAAAATTCTATTAAAGTGATGTGTTTTACAGGACATATTCCAGATGCAGGTCAGATTTGGTCTAATTGATCGCATTTTACATTTTTAATCCATACATGCATTATCGAGGTATGGCAGAAGGTCCAGAAGTACGAACATTTTTATATTTGTTGAAGTATAGACTAGAGCAAGACAGTGGGTCAAAGTACTTGAGAAAGATGTTTAAAAAGTAGTTCTTAACCTTCTAGCATCAGGAAATCCAGTTAGCTCTTCTGCTCAATGTTTGCATTATTGCCTCTTACTCTTACTGTGGATCTCAGCCCACAAGTCACCTCCATAGAGAGCTCTTCCCTGACGCCCATGGCTTAAGTTGCCCACCACTCACCCCATTTCATGCTTTATTTTCTTCATAGCACTTATTTCTCTGCTAAATTATCTTAAAGTTTGTGTGTTTATCTTTGGTCTTCTCTCACTAAAATGTGAGCTCTATGAGAGCAGGAAATCTGACTGCCTTGCTCACCACTGTGCCCAGAACAACATTTGAGGCACGAATGAATGGAAGCAATGGCTGAATGTGAATTACTCATCAGTAGGTTTGCAGCCTCAGCATGGTCCTCTTGTTGGGGATGGAAGGGGTCAGAGGTGGATAAAACCCCACATAACTGACAATGCCCTTACATTAGAAGGGTCTCCTGCCCTGGTCCTGCACTTTAAAGGGCTCCATGTATCACAAGCACACCCACCCACATTTTCATTAACCCAGACATGAGGTACTTTTGGGGTCTGGCACTCAACACTGACATGGCACCATCCTTAACCCTAAATGTTCACTCTGATGGGAAACACTGTCCAGGCCTCAGAGAAACGCCTCTCCACCTTGCTTGCCCTCTTGCCCTGTGTCCCCCAAAAGGTGTCTGAATTTAACAAAGGTCTGTGACTTTTCAGTCAGAGATAAACACCGCTTTAGAGTGTGGGAGGATTTGAGCGGGAGAATTCAGTGACAAATTTCAGCAGGCGAAGTTTTCTCACATACCGAGGTTCTGTCTTTTCTTCCACTTCCTGACTCAGGAGACACTTGGGAATGAGGGCAGTGTGTGCAGTAGTAGCACATAGTAGCTGTGTTAACTTGCTACAGTGTGAAACAATTACTCATCCGAACATCGCCAGCCCATTAAGCACATGCATAATAAAAATTCAGTTGTGTTTTATACTTTGCCAACTTTCTATTTTGTCATCATAAATGTATATTTTAAGATGGGAGGATAGAACATATTTTATTTAACAATTTGCTCACTTGATTTATAATTTTAAATATTTAGACATATGGTGTGTAGGCCTCCATTTGGGCTCTTGCTCTAAAATGTACAATTTTTAGACACAGGCTTGGAATGATGAGATAGAAGAATAATTGTTTCATATCCATGCTGTAAGTTACAGTCTAGAAGGAAAGGTTTCCTTATATCTGGCAAAAATTACAATTGATCAGTTAATTCAGTCCCATGTTAATTCTTGTTCTGTTTGAATTTGGTTCTGGATATTCTTACTTCAGTTTTATGATCTTAAAGTTATCAGAAAGCTGTACTTGTCAAGTTAGTATTCCCTTAGGACCTATCAGATTTCCAGGAACTTTACATCATTTCTAGAAGAACATAAACACTTACTTGACAATGCTTCCTATGTAATTTAACATACATATATAGTTGTAAGATCCAGACTTCTTAGGTAATCAAAGACTTGCTATGAAAGACAAAATTATTTTGACAAGACGCAATCATTGTTTTCTAGGCGGATCACTGAAAAGGCACAGAAATACCCCTGCTTACAATTTCTCATCATGAACAGACCAACAATCCAAAAACTCATGTGAGCCAACAGAGAATTCTGCAGTACATTTGATTACTTTACATTGTCTATGCTATTGTCATGAGACTCAAATATTTGTATCAAAGTTTTCTGCCCCAACCAGGGTCTCTGATGATTTACAACACTAGCACAGGAAAACAGACACACAGTACAGCAGGAAAAGACCCAGCTTGACCCTGGGTTTTTCCCTCAGAATAACTTCTTCCATACATAAGAATTTACTGTTACATATAGACTCATTCTCTAACTGATCTTGGGTCATGGGGAATGTTAAGGCTTAAGAATTTTAAAACACATTGTTTTTTTTGGTAGTCCATTGTTACCCCAGACCACAAAAAATACATTCTCTAAGTGAATGTTCAGGTTAGATTAGCACATTCTTATATTTACTGAGGAAATCATGCAACTACTTGCAACAGCAAGTCTATTCAAAAATCACTAAATCAAACTTTTTCTTTAACTCCTACAGTTGAGCTTGCTAGAAAAAAAAAGCCATTCAACTGTGCAGGTTAGGGTATCATTACACAATCACCATCACCATATAAAGGGAACACTCAACACTGGCTGGCAACATACCTCTCTGCAATCAACAAGTTCCAATTCTCTAATATACTTATCTTAATATGAAGCCTATCTAGAACCACAGGAAAATGTGCTGCCTCAAGAAATTTCAATAAAAATTCTGAACCCTATAAACATTGTAAGACAATATAGCTTCATTTGGTTCCCATACATTGGAAAGAAATCTCACTGCTTTCTACAAACATTTCTCCAAATTCCTATCTATTCTGATTTTTATTAATTTTTTTTCACTCAATTTAGAGACTATCTCTTAACATCTTTTCAGTAATGTGTTTTGCTACTGGTAACTACCTGCTTCTCTACATTCCCACATTTACAAAGCCTAGCATCTACTGTGGTTTTGTTTCTTAAGATACATAGATGGTTCTAACGCAGTTCAACACTTGTTACAAAATGACAGGGTTTTTTTCCTTTCCTTTTTGTTATTCTGGAATAACCATTTTGCTTTAGGACAAATTACTTTTTTCTTTTTACAGAAAATGCACCTCCACTCCTCACATCTTCTTTTCCCCCGAACTTTTACTCCTCATATCTTCTTTAACTCAAAACATACCACCTTTTCCCCAAAACAAGCTACTTTTCATATACAGTCATTTTCTTTCATTCTTATTATTTCTAGTAGCTTTGTACAAATCAATTTTTGGCTACAACAATCTGTACTTTTAAAAGCCTCTTTTGCTCCTTTTTCTTCATTACTTTCCCAGACATTCTATCTCTTATCTTAATCAGGCTTTGTCATCACCTGGATCTTAATCTGCACCATTCTGTGTCCTCCTAGCTTTGCAAAATATAATGCTAAGATCTCTAACTTACTATCCTGTTTTTCCAACTTGTCTGCCCTAAGCTAGCAGAGTAATGGACAATTATATATCCTTCCACCTTTTAATTCATCTTTATAGTCAGTTTTTTCCATGCGGCACAAATATGTTCACCAATAGATACAAATATCCCCAGTTCCTCTGCAAAAGGGAGCAAACTAATGGTTTAAGTTACCAAAAAGATCTGGGAAACCATTTAATTATGAAGTAATTATTGCTAAAAAAAAAGTTCACCATAAACTCTTATCTTTCATGCATCTAATTCATTTGCTCTTAATTATAATATAGTTTTAACAGTGTATTATAGTTTACTCAAATCAGCTGCATTATATTAATGTTGGTAATTCTGAAAGCTAGCTCACTCCAATCAAACCAACAAGTCTAAACCAGCTTTTATCTGTCAAACACTGCATCAATCATGTGAACTTGAACACCTGGGCTAGTTTGAGTCAACTGAATAGAGCTCTTTACAAACCAATTTTGGCAATACCATCCAGAGGTTAGAAAAAAAAATATTACAACACGTCTATAATGTATGTACATAGAACCAACACAAACAGATCTTTGTAAAAAGTTAGCCATGTCTCAGGTAAAAAACTCAAAGAATAGCTGAATCACCATGACAATCTCAAGTGAACTAAATTAAGGTTACCTGCTCAGACAGCAGAAGTCTTACTAATGATTTCCATTCATATGCTAAAAGGATCTTTCTAGAGCTATTTTTGGAGACTTTATTTAAAAGAAATGTTGGCATACCAATCATAAAGTGCATTCCATTATCTCCAAAAGGTTTAAGATTCTCTCTTTTTCCTTTTAAGGTGGATTTATCTAAAACAAAGGTTCCCAGAACGGCCATTACAATCCCAAATCATTTAAAAGTTCACTCATCTTTTCAGAAAGGCACAAGAGCCTAATCCGAGGGCCAGGTGGAATCTATCTTGCCTTTGGATTCCCTGAAACATCTTCCAGAGATAAATTAATTTTCACTCTGCAAAAGTCTCAGAGTGTTAAAAATGACTTCTCAAATCGGTAACCACGAGGAGCCCTGTTTTTCAAAAGCTGTCCTAAAACACTGTAGAATCATGTTTTCCCTCCTTTTAAACAGGATAGGTGACTGACCAAGAAGGTTCAAGAAACAGAGACATTGACAGAACAGAAGGAGAAAAAAAAAACCCAGAAACAGAACAGAAAACAAAGCAAAAAGAACCGAAAAAACCCAAGCGTGCACAATAAAGTAGGAAGTAACACAAAGAGAGTGACGTTCAGACCCAAGGGACACTCACCGGGAACTCTGAGGTCCGCTTGGAACCGGCACCTAGTTTGCTCTCTGGCCTTGGGGCTACGAGGGTTCGTCTTCTGTGGGTCACGCTTCAGGCATCATCAAATGCCACAGGTTCAGAAGTTAACAAAATAAACCCAAGGAATCACCAACTAGTAAAAATTGACTACGCACACACCAAAAACGCGGCTTACAAACTGAGAGCAGAGCGTGGAAAGAGGTGTCGAGCCCCCACAGCAGCTTATATAGTGAGAAGGCAGTGCGTTCACAGCGGCTGGTAATTAAGCTAAATTAATGACTAAACTGGTTTTGCCTGTGCAGGGAAACTTCAAGACTGGTCTCCATTTGCTTTTGGTTTTAACATGACAAAGTCTGTACCCTGTTTTAGGAGATGGTCTCAAGCCTGCCCAGATTTAAAGGGAATGGACACAGACCACATTTTTCAAAGGTAGGAATGTGAAGGAATTGCAAGCTTATTTCAAAACCACCATAATCTTGCAGACTGTCCTAGAAGCAGCCCCTGTGGAAACATGGAGACTTTCTAGGAGTGAAAAATGACCCACAGTAACCCATGCAACTCTGCTCACAAGAGTTCCCCCTACAAAAGTAGGAACGGGGTAAATTATTCTGACATCTTTGCACAATTCCTTTACCTCTAATCTTGGATCCCAAAGTGCATCCAGGGGTTGTTTCTTTTGTTTGTTTGTTTTTCAAAGGAAGTGCTTTTATTTTATTTTATTTTTTCAGGGACTGTTTCTAATAACAAAAAGATTTGGGATGATTAAAAACTGCTGGAGCATCTGCTCTAAATATTCAACCTGGGACAAGACTATCTTTGGACTGCAAGACAAGAAGAATAAAAGACGGCTTTTTAAATGAAGGCTGAGATTGCGCTGGGGAAGGTCACATGTCCATTATTGCCCAGTTTAGCTAGAGGAACCTAAAACTCTTGGCCGCTGGGCTGATTTGCTCTCCCACAAGATTCTTTCTCCTAAGAAAGTCTGCCTGAACTTGGGATAGCATAAGCCATTTCCCTGGGGAACAGACTCAGTGCAAAGATTCACATGTTAGAACTGTGTTGGGGGAGTGATTTTCCCCAACAATACCTGCAAGGGAAGGTGTACTTGTTTCCTTTGCTGCTGTAAAAAATTATCGCAAGCACTGGCTTAACACAGCATAATATATCATTTAATGGTTCTAGAGATCAGAAGTCCCAAATCAGTCAGCAGGGCTATATACCTCCTGGAGATCCTGCAGAGAATCTGACTTCTTGACTTTCTCATCTTCTTGAGGCCAACTAAATTCTTCGGGTTGTGGCCCCTTCCTCCATCTTCAAAACCAGCAGCACAGCATCTTCTCTCTTCTCTGACCTCCTGGTTCCTCTTAAAAGGATCCTTGTGATTACATCTGGCCCACCAAGGATAATCTCTTCATCTCCAGGTCTTAACTTAATCACATCTACGGATTTCCTTTTGCCATGTAAGGCAACATATTCATGGGTTCTGGGGAGTAAGATGTTGACACCTCTGGGAAGCCATTAATCTGTCTACCACAATGGGAAGAGGGCAAACTGGGCAGAGGGAGAAGTTGAACAGTGATGTAGGTACAACAAAGAGCTCAGCCAATCCCACGGAGATTCTAAACCAGGCATGTTCTTGTCCTGGCAAGAAGTCAGGCCCTTATACTCCTCAAATTAGCCAGTCAGTGAATACGAGTTCCCCCAGGGAGGGAACATTAATGAAAACCTGGCAGTTCCCTTCCACTAAGGGCAATTCCTGGGGAGGTGCCCAGGTGTCATCCAAGAACTGGGACACTCTGAGTAACTGGGAGAATAAATGTTTGGGTCCTGAGGAGGGTATCTGTGCAGCACACCACAGAACCCACCAGAGTTCACCCTTTGCCTGTCCAGATCCACTTGCTTTGTAGTCAGACCATCCTGGAAGAGCTGCTCCAAAGTTCTGGCTGGTCCCTTTTCCTAGAGAAAACTTACAAGAGGAACTTTAGTGTGACAAACTCTATCCCCCGCACGGCAGCTGGTTTCAGAACGGTGACGATACTAACACTCACCCTCCTCCACCATCCATTCCAGATTCCCCATAGCAAGCACCTCTACCAACTTGGGTAAACTAGAGCCACATCCCTGAGGGACCTTGTTCATCCCTGGTCATCACGCCCTTCATGGACATGGCTGCTGCACAGGTCTATTTATCACCAAAATTGAGCAAGGGAGAACCAAGAGATGCCCTGAGAATCACTGCATGCCAAATGTATTTTTCCCTTTCCCAGAAGTCCCACCTCCTCCTGGAGTTTCAGATCGGTTGCCCCTGCCAGGATGATGACACTTTTCCTTCTTGCTGGTCTCTTAGCCTAAGGAGCCTGGAATGACCAGGACTCTTGCTGGACCCCACAGCAGAAGTACCCCACCTTGGGAATGAGGAGATCTACACACACAAAGCCCTGAGTTGCAAGTTGCAAGGGCTGGAATCACTCATTTCCCAAGTTACATAAGTGACGGTAAGTGGGTCCATTTCTACTTTCATCCCATCCATCCCAGACCTTTGTGTTCTATTAGGGACACATACAATAATCTGCTATGGTTTCCAAACTCCCCTTCTTCCACCTCTGCCCCCTACAATCTATTCCCAAAAGAGCAACTGGACTGATTCTTTTGAAATATAATGCAAATCTTATCTTTCCTCTGTTCAAAATTCCCCAATTTCCCATTTCATTCTGATTAAAAGCCAAAGTCCTTACAATGGCCTTGAAGGCTCTGCACAACTTGTCTCTCCCTTCATTACCTTTCTGATATTATCTCAGGACCCTCCTGCCCAGTCTGCTCCACACACCTCTAAGCTGATCCTCAAACATGCCAGGTACACTGCTACCTACGGGCCTTTGCACTTGCTGTTCCCTCTTCCAGAACCCTGTTATATTAGACAGAATAAACTAGGCAATGTTGCAATAATGAAAAACCCACACATCTCAGGGTTAAAGCAAGAGAGATTCTGGGCCAGTTGTTGGCTCTGGCCCACACGGTTCTGATGGACATGCAACCTGGGCCTTTCTATCTGGACTCCACTGGCTGAAGAGAAGGAAACTAACAAATCATGGCTGGACCCTTATAGTCCTTTACCCACCACCGTTTACATCTCATTGGCCAAAGTGACTTATACTCAAGGAGATACAAAATACAGTCCTCCCACGTGGCCAGGAGGAGGACAGGAACTTTAATGAACAGTCCTGAAGACAAACTTCTCCCCAGAGAGACCTCATGGCCCCTCCCTCACTTCCTTCTGAACTTTGCTCACATGTCAGAGTCTCAGGGAGGCCTTTCCTGATCATTCTGTGTAAAATTGCAACCATGTCACCTACCTCCTTCTCTATCCTGTTTGATTTTTCTCCAAAGCATCACACACACACATTTACATTTTGTTTGTTCAATTTCTGCCTCCCTTCACCAGAACAGAAGCTCCATGAGAGCAGGGATAAGCTCTCAATATTAGCTGGGAAAATATTCGGGACCCACTTGGCGTCCTATTCCTGTTTGTATTAGGATTTTGAAAGACTAATTGATGGTGGTCATTTGTCTCCAAACTTCTTCTGACCTAATTTAACAGACAAGGACAAGAGCAAAATAGTAAGGAAATGGGGGCCCATTTCTATGCCCCTCTGATAGCCCAGGCTTCATGTGTGAGTCTATGGTGGAAAGAATGTGCAAAAATGGTCCTAATTCCAACAGGTAGGAAATGTAATCTTTCTAAGATGTATTAAAATGTTTGTCTCATTAGTTCCAAAAACTCATTAGTTTTTCTGACTTACAAGTTACTGTCACCTAATGTAAAGTTATTTTTAATTAAATATGAATATCGTTAAAATGTATCCAGGGAATCACACAATAGAAAGTAATTCTGAAGACTATTAATGTGTATCAGTCCCAGGCACAGTGCAGCGTCCTACTTAGCAGGAGGACTAGCGGGCAGTAGTTCAGATAAATCCCTGCTGTCTGGCACTAGGTTACTTTCCCACATTTTCTCTGCATGTGATAAAATCAAGAGAAAAAAATCCTAAATGAAAAATCCAAGATGTCAATATCTACACTATGGGAAATTGTTTTCTTTTAAAATGCTATATGATCATTATTAGGATATTATTAAAAACATTCATACTATTTTATCTAAATAACACTGCGAATGGCAACGGTTGTTAGTATCTTGGACATGTGACTCAAGAAGCATTTTACTTAGGAATTCAGATTTGATTAATGATTAGGTGGGCAACTCATGGTAAGTTTCTGGACCTTGTTTTCTCATTTAAAAATTGGAATAATTATAGTGGTCACCCCCATGCAGAATGTCTTGTGAATTTAATTAATGATCCCAAAGCCCCTCAGGATAATATGGCACTGTATGAAGCTGGGTCACTGTTTTAGTCTCCCATAGGGGCAGGAACTGACCTGTATCTGTTTGAGGCTGCTTTGTGTGCCCCACAGCACACAGGCAGAGCTTGTGCCAGTGAGACCTGGTGGTGACTGAGCAGTTGCCTGATTTGAAGACACAGTGATGACTGTGTAGGTTTCACATCTCTAGCCCAGCCAGCCACATGGCTGAAAAACAGATTTCAAAATTGCTGTAAGAAAGAAATATTTCCAATGTATGTTGCCTTTGTTTTATTAAAATACTACAAAGGGTATTATCAAACATCATTATAAAAGTGTACCACCTGTTTGAGAAAAATGACTTACAATAGAAGTGTGATATTGTGAGCTGGATCACTCACCTTATATGAGCTAAAAATGAACAGCACTGATGTCAACCAGTGATAGAGAAAAATAAACAGAAATGAATATTTTCATAGGAAATATAAGAAAAATAAAGGACTGTCAGCAATTTTGTAAGAACATGTGGGAATGTATCAGAAATCTTTTGGTTGCACATGACAGATAAGCAAAGTCAAATGGTTTTAAACCAAAAAAAAAAAAAAAGTGGGAGGAGGAGGGACCATAGAAAAGACTTATCTGTTCACATAACTGTAAAGTTCCAAAGTACATTGATTTCAGGTGAGGCCTGATCCAGCAGCTGACCAAAATTATCAAGGACTTACCTTTCCTCATGACTGAATGCCCTTGTACAAATCCCTAATAATTTTTAAAATTTGTCTAGCTTCCATTCTCCACTCCTAATTAGAGCTCAATTTCCTTTTGGGGAAAGACTTCACCAGTGTGTTTAATCTTACTGAGACAGTAATTGCAGGCATCTGTCTCATCTCTATCGAAACTGAGATAAACAGATTTTACCCATCCTGTGCCCTTCCCTTCCCCAGTCCTAGGGCCATGGGCAGACATATGACCTAAGCTTGGTCAGACA